GTTCCTTCAGCCCCCTCCCAACTTACAGTAGCGTGGCTCGTCTCTTACTCTAAGATTTTTCTATTCTTAGCCCGGTGAGTCAAAACAAGCGTGTTCCTTTGGCTGGACGTGATCGCTCAAATAACTCCCTCTTTCCCAGAAGGCTAGAATGGTCTCTCTGACTGACCGATGTGCACTGGTCACCACAGCGGAATTGCATTGTGGGAACAGAGCTCAGTTTCTTTCCGTCTCTTTCGTACAGTGTAAATCATCATCTTGTGATTAGCCAACAAAGCTGCCACATGATATTTTAGCGCCTCCTAAACGTTTTAAGGCCAGCGCACACTCCCTCAGTGACAGCTCTATGATTAATGAACAGCAGCTCTGACAGTGAGAAGAGCATAACCTGGTTGCATTATATAAAGGGACTCCAGGTCGCCTCTATAGACTTCTCGAATCACTCTGAAAGACTCAACTCATGGACTGATATCAGAGCTGATGTGATCAGAGAAGCTTTCTGCATCTCTCTGAAGACGCCCGCTCTCTGACGCACAACCGAGAAGTTGATATGAATGTAATCTGTTCAGGAGTGCCGCCACAAGACGACTTCTGAGCCTGTTCAAATCATAAGTCACTTGATTTTCTGTAACAAGCCTTCCTGTTTTTGTTTGTTTTATGTTTAAATGTTTCCCAACAAGTATCTAAATCAATTTATACATATATTTGTAAAATATTTATTTAAAAGTTTTTAATATTTGTTAATAAATTGCCTGTTTAATTCAGATAATGTTCTACCTATTATTCTTATATCAGATATTTTATTTATATGTATGTATTGTTGTTGTTGTTGTTGGCTGTTGTTTTTGGCTGGTAATCTTACTACCCTGCGGAAAAGACCAAATTAGGCCAGTATGAATGTCCAGTCTGGTTTATGCAGGTTTGCTACTTGTCTACCAGTTGGACCAACATAGTCATGCTGTTCATCAGCACAATAGTGGTTAAAAAAAGAATACAGTTGCAATTATGGTGCCTTCATTGTTGGAGTGCACATCAAATTATCTAGATGATCATTTTATTCCTCAACTGTTCATTGAATCTGCATAGTGCCTAAGTAAACACTACCAGAAAACAGTGCTAAACTGGTTTGTTAATTTTAGTTTGTTTAGCATGTTTTAGCTGCTCTTCAGCCTGGTCAAGCTGCCACAAACCAGCAAAACAGACCAAGCCATCTGGGTGTTTTGTTTTGTTCCGTTTGTTTTCTGTTTTTCTATGTTGTTGATTTAGATTTTTAGTGAAAAGTGTTCGTTTTTAAATATAAACAGGTAGTTTTTCTATGTATTTTGTTTTTGACTGAGTGTGAATTTTGCACTAGCTGACAAATGAAAAGTGAGTTTTCTGTTTCTGACTGAGGGAGTTTTGTTTCAGAGAAGTGATGATAGGTGTACATAGGCTAATACACACCCGTGCAGCTGTACAGGTTAAAAGTTAACTGCTCTCAGAAGTATTTTGAATAAATCAAACAGAAAGACAATGGAGAGATTGGTCATCAAAATGAGCATATGCCCCTTCCTTCTGTTGGCCTGTTGCATAAACAGAGGCAGTTGTGCTGTGAAATACACTGTCATTCACAGCCACACTCAGATCCCCTTAACTGAATGAAACGCCTCTATAATGTATTCATAATGGCCTAGATCTGCTCGACATCATAATGGGATCAAATTACGTGATCAGATTCACAATCTGTGTGAAAGGTCTGGTATGCAATTTGTTTTTGTGTGCATTTTTGTGGTTTAGCGGATATTTGCACTTGGACACTTTGTGTTTTATCGATCAGATAGTTAACCATTTGTAAGATATGTAAATGGGATATGTATACTTAATAGGATAGCAATTTGATCATTTAAAACGCCTGAAATGGCCTTTACTGTCAGCAGAAGTTCAAAGTGTGTGTGTGTGTGTGTGTGTGTGTGTGTGTGTGTGTGTGTGTGTGTGTGTGTGAGAGAGAGAGAGTCAGAGCTTGCCTAGCATTCAGTTTGAGGTTTAAAAGTGTTTGACCATTCTTAAAAGTTCACGGAAGAGGATATTTCTTTTTTTTTCTCCACTCGTTCTCAACCCTCGCCTTAGAGACGAATGGGTGCTTTCTCTACTTGACTGACTGCTGACTTACTAGTTCAGGCATCTGTAGAAAAGAGGCTGTGCAGTCAGTCAGTGTGTGTGGGCTCCTGTCTGTGGAAATCTGCTGACAAACAAACTCTCTCTATCTCCCTTGTGCTAGTGATTTTTCCATTCATTCATTCCCTGCTCAGAACTCAGAATTTTCAATCTGTTCGTGTGCTTCTTTCATCTAATAGCTCCCCCCCTGCCAGGCAGCATTGTATTAAAATCCCTCATACTACTACTCACACATTTCTGCAATTTATTCAGCATTTAAGATTACACGCTTTTAACATTAACATAAAATAAAGCACATTAACATTACCTGAGATTGTCATTGCCACACTTTGTGTTGTTGTTCCAGCCGCAACACCACAGAAAAATAGAAACCATTTCTAAAATAGAAATGTCGCGTGTCGCCGTCGCGGCTGGTTAGGACAAAAACTCTGTTTGACATGGAAAAGATACCTTTTATCACGTGTCTTTCTTGGCGCACATGATTAGGAAACGGTGATTATAATGTTGTAAAAATTTTCCATTGAAATAGCAGGGACAAAAATGATTGCAATCGAAAGCCAGCAGTTGACGGTGATGTCCATAGCTATAAAGTTTGCTTGAGGATTTCCTTCAGAAAATGCAGATTTCGCTTCAAATGGACCAATCATTATGCGACAGTCCACCGATGCAGACCGATGTTGGATCATCCCTTGAACACACCCAAGCCTGAAATACAGTCCTGTACAGAATTATTGGCTCCCTTGGTAAATATGAGCATAGAAGATGTTGAAATCTGCAAGAATTCACAAAAATATAACCTTTCTTTGAAGTAAATCAATTAAGGCCCTGTTTACACGAAAACGATTCCGGGTGAAAACGTAATAATATTTTATCGGATGTGCCTTTCGTTTACACGGCGACGGCGTTTTTGGTGCTTAAAAACGCAAAAAAGTGAAACCACCCTCCAAAGTGGAAATCTTAAAAACGCTCCACCGTCGCGTTTCCGTCTAAACGGGTAAAAACGCAAATCTGCTCATGGCGGCTCTCGTCGCGTACGCATTTACGTCACAGGCATGCGCCAGTACAGGAAAATAACAACCAACATGTCGGATTATTTCCATACGTCGGACCTTCAAGTTGCCCTAGCAGCTCTGATAAACGTCCAAGAGTCTTTTCAATTTCGCGCTACTAGGGAGAGAAGTAGAAGGAAGGTTGTACGCAGGCGCACGGACTTGTTGTTGTTGTGTGGCAGTGCTTCACATTGCCACCTAGCCGCCTGGAGTGCATACTACATCGCATTTCTAACACTTTTGCGTCTCCATATGCACGCAGATTTCCCCCCCATAACGCTCGTCTAAACGCAGAATAAAAAGTGAAAACGAAACGCCACTTTTGCGTTTTCTCTTCAGATCGTTTCCGTGTAAACATGGCCTAAAACTGAGGGAAAATCTCAATATTAAATTATTTTTTTCCCCTCGAAAATACGTTGGCCTTAATTTTTGTTCATTTTTTGAATGAAAGATATACAGCCTTCTTTGCTCATATTTATTAAAGCGTGCCAATAATTATGGCAATAATATAATGAGCTAAATTAGAGCCACAATCTACTTTTAAGCTTACAATGCTTTTGTGAAACGCAGCCCAGGACTGTAAATGCTCCATTTGCCCATTTCCAGGATTTTATTTGTTCTCCCAATAAAGGACTGTGTAAGGGCTGTCTCAACAGAACCCATCCTCTCTAGACAGGGCAGATTATCCCGTATGACACTTGTGATCTCATTGCGGTTCAACCTTACATAGAGAGCACACTTGCGATTGCTATGTAATGTTGAGGAGCAGTAAGTCGTCTGATGTAATTCCTCCACTGTCATCATGGCTGTCTGTCCAATCAGCATCACACTGGTGCTGATAGCTGCTCTTTCAGACTGATGCTATATTTAGTTCTTGGTGGCAAACGCTGGGCATGTTCAACTGCCAGGATACAGAAAGCATGCACAAGATTGCCTTTCATCCTTCTGCAGTCTGTTCACTGTCATGACATTTTTTATTTCATAATTCATTTGACAAAATGTTATTATCTTCTAAAACGATGTACTCTCTGTGTTTGTTTGACTTCGTCATCGCTCAAAGACAGGAAGGAAGTCAAAATGTGATTGTCTGGGTCCTCTGTCTGGAATTGAGGACTCAAAAGTGCAGAACAGAGAAAGGTCAAATTTGTCTGTCGTCATTCTTTTTTCTCTTCCTTTCTTCCCCTAACCTATTTCTTTTTCTCTGTCCTTCACGCCTTCTTTCTTTTATTCGCTCTTTTCAGAGAGAAACCTTTTGAATGCTCGATTTCAAAGTCGGATCAAGTAAAGGTCTGGAGTGAGATGTCAGATCTGTGATGGGTCATCTGATGTGTTTACTTTGTTTGTTGTTTTCTTGTTTATGAATTCTCTGGAGCAGACAACGAATGCTCTGACATTCCTGTCTTATCTCAGATAAGGACCAGTGAGCATGTCAACAGTAACCAAGCCGAGAGCCCATGTCTTTGTTTATGTGTGTGCGTGTTTTTAACAAATGCAGAGAAGGCTTTGTAGTTTGCTTCTCCAAAAAATAGTGTCTGAGAGTGTTTATGCCAATTGGTTACTTATTACAAAGATCTCTATAAAATGTAAGTGTTTTTTCTCTATCATTTATTTAAAACTAGTTTTCAGAACACTGAAGTAAGCTATACAATTTCATAATACATTTCAAACGGGTAGTTTTTATTTAAAAAAATGTTTAAATGTCATTTTTTTCCCTTTATACAATTTAAGTGGGGTCCAATTTTGTTTTCAATAAAAAACAGTTGAAACATTCTTCATAATGTCTTCTTTTGGGTTCCACAGAAGAAAGAAAGTCAGACATGTTTGGAACAACATGAGGGTGAGAACCGTACCACTCAGAAGTTTGGGGTCAGTACGATTTTTTAATGTTTTTGCACGAAATATCTTATTCTCACCAAGGCTGATCTTTACTCCAGTCTTCAGTGTCACATGATCCTTTTGGAAATCACTCTATGCTGATTGGTGCTCAAGAAACGTTTTTTTTTCTTATTATCAATAGGGTTGGGTATCATTTGAATTTTAGCAATTCAGATTCCGATTCTCATCGATTCCCACTTTCGAAGTCAAACATTTAGATATCAAACATATTTATTCTGTCTTTTTGCAAAACATTATGTTGCAGCGGAATACCATGAACAAATAAGGAGCTTTTGCCTCTGGTTTTAACAAAAATACCACAGCAAAAACAACTAGACTAACTAATATAAATTTCAAACATCATTAAAGACAAGTAAACGGTATGTAATAAAATAAGAACAAATAAACAAATTACCAATATCACAAATAAATACAACTGAACAAAGTTCAGGTATAGAAATTGAAATGCAATGTAATCAAATGTAAAATAACACTGCATAGTTTTCATTTTATAATTAAAATATAGATTAATCCTTATTAAAGTTACTAAAGTTCTTCAGTCAATGGATGTGTGCACAGCACTGAAAACAGCGCTCGAGTGCCGAATTGAGTTCTCTTTAGCGTCCTCTTGCGCTTGAATGGTTTAAAATCACATTAAAATGTGCACACAGGAATCGATAAGCAGAATCGAAATGTGCGTCTTATCGAATCCACGGTTCTTGGAAATTTGGTGCCGGTTCTAAAGTGGAACCGGTTTTCGATTCCCAACCCTAGTTATCTACTGTATGTTGAAAACAATTGTGCTGCTTAATATTTTTGTGGAAACCATGATACAATTTTTCAGGATTCTTTGATTAATAGATTGTTCAAAAGAACAGCATTTATTTGAAGTAGATTTTGATATAACAATGTAAAATTGATAAAAATTAGAAGTTTATAAAAATGACAATGATCAATTTAATGCATCCTTGCTGAATAAAAGTATTCATTAAATACGGTAGTGATACTTTTTTTTTTAATTTTTCTCTTTAAGAATGCATTTTTGTCTGGGATATTGTCTGTTGACTTAATTTGGTTCATTTTCATATAAATTTGCAATAAACGGCTCTTCAAGGCCTGTCACCATACCATATTTTTTTTTTATTTGAAGTACGCAAATTGGGTTGTAGCCTTTGTTTTTTTGGGATTTCTTTATTATTACCATCCACAGATTGATGATGAAGATTCCTTTAAGTAGAAATGAGCAAATATTAGCAGTGGAGAAGGAGGACGTATGTGTGTGAAGTGAAGGAGAGGATGTTTTTGTACAGCGCCTGCAGTCCAATCTGTGTGCAGAGCAGAAAATAAAGCAATTTGTTATCCACCGAGTCTCTGCAGGGGTGCCTCCTCAGCACTTTTCTTACTCACTGTGTGCGTTAGAGAGAGAGAGAGAGAGAGAGAGAGAGAGAGAGAGACTGTTTGTAGTTTCAGTTGTGATGTGCTGTGTGTATGTTCCACTACATTACCTTAATTGGCCGGGTCTGTCTTTGTGTTCAACTCAAAGCAAAGCTCAAGCACCTTTGACTCACTAACATCCTCAAAACTCAGCCTGCATTCTCTTCCTCTGTATAATCCCAGAGGTAAAGTCGGTTATGTTTGATAGAGATACAAAATTCAGTGTCAAATTGTCCTGTAGACATCACTCATTTTTGCTGTTAAATGTGCTGTTTGGGTAGCAGTTCTTTCTGAAGGTACCTGCTAATTCTGCAAAGAAGAATGTAAATTAGCTCTCACATTATAGGGAAATTGTTCAAATACAGTACCTGTCAAAAGTTTGGAAACATTAATTTTTTTTAAATGTTTTTGAAAGAAGTCTCTTATGCTCACCAAGGCTGCATTTATTTAATCAAAATACAGTAAAAATCATTTAAAATATTTTTTTGTATTTTAATAAATTCAAAAATGTAATTTATTCCTGTGATGGAAATGACATTTATTTACGCGTGCAGCCTGCAGGATTAAAAAAAAATATTTTTTACTCAATTTTCACACAATAAAATATGTTAGAGCTTGGTACGGTACAGGTTACGTGTTTCTCAGAGCGGCTCTGTTCACAGTTAATGCTGCTCTACACAAAACATTTTTTTTTAAAGTAAAGCTAATAATAATCCCACTGTTATGATATATGAGGTAGCCTGATTTTAAAAGTATGATTTCTTGAATTTGAAAAGTCATGTAAATTAATACAGCTTTTAACTACATGCTCATCTTTATAACGAATATACATTTTTCTAGTTATGCCAAGCTCTAACATATTTTATTGTGTGAAAATTGAGAGTAAAAAACATTTTTTTAAATCCTTTTCCTTAATCCTTAGTTATCCAGTAAATCACAAACAACAGGAAAAGTCATGGGGCGTTTGAATATTGTTGTGGACAAAGTAACAATGGGGGGCCTTAGAGTTAAAAACCACTGCTATACACTAGACAAAATCTAACTTTACCCTAAAAAGTAAAGGCTTTGCGTTTCAGAAAAAAATATTTGCCTTATTTATAAATTGTTTTTCTAAATGAGGACGTCTCCAATTGTCCCCAAAGGGAGGTTTTGTCTGATTGAGCTCACTTTTGGGGGCAATTTCGTACACAGAATACACTCTCTTTGTTGGCTCTTTTGTGTGGTCTTATTAATGGTCTTTGTGAATGCATCTATAAGACATATGAAATCGCATTACTTCTCATTGTGTACTTTTATGGGGAGTGTGTTGTGAGCATACATGCTCTTATTTTCATCGCTATAGTACATGTTTGAATGAATGAATGAAATCTTTATTTCGAACAATTAATAAAAATAATAATAAAATAAATAAATAAAGACAGCAATACGTATGAAGTATCCATACAAATAATTAAACACAAAAACAATAAAAAAAAAAAATATATATATTTTTTTTTAGCATAATAATCAACCTGTTCGAAAAGGGATAGGTAGAAGCCCTAGGCTTATCAAGACCTACCCCCAGTAACTACCCAAACCAATTCACAATCAGACAAGATAAATCTAACATAACGTTTTAAATAATAAAAAATAAAAAAATACCTGCTAAATTAAAGTAATACTTTATCTTAATATTAAGATAATGAAAAAATAAAATAAAAGCATAAAAAAAAACATGATCAAACTGCATTTCCAACCATAATGAAATATCATTCACCCTCTTCACTTCTGTACTTATCAAAAATAAAACTTTTATACCGTTTTTTGAATTGCAACATATTAACACTTTGTTTGATCGAACTGCTCAGACCATTCCACAAAAGCACCCCACAAATCGAAATACACATACTTTTGAGTTTTGTCCGAATCCTATGTTGACTCAAATTTAAATCCCCTCTCAAGTTATAACCCCCAACCCTATCTGTAAATAACTGTTGTATGTTTCCAGGCAACTGTTTATTTATTGCTTTATAAATTAATTGAGCGGTCCTAAATTTAACGAGATCATTAAACTTTAGAGTGTGCAATTTTAAATATAGCAAATTAGTATGCTCATGATATCCTACCTTATTTACTATCCTAATTGCTCTTTTTTGTATTGTGCTTAATGTTTGTAAGGTGGTTTTGTAGGTGTTGCCCCATACTTCAACACAATAATTTAAATAAGGCAACACAAGGGAACAATACAAGATAAAAAGTGCTTTTTTACTCAATACATGACTTGCTTTCCCCATTACTCCAATACTCTGCGCTACTTTTGTTCTAACATATTTGATATGGGGTTTCCAACAAATTTTATGGTCAAGAATCACACCCAAAAATTTATTTTCATACACTCTTTCTATTTTAACATTATTAATCATAACTTTTACTTGTGTGTCGGTTTTACGATTACCAAACAGCATAAATTTGGTTTTATCTAAATTTAACGATAATTTATTTGAGTCAAACCATATTTTTAACTTATTAATTTCTGATGTGACCACCTCCAAAAGCTGCTTCAGATTTTCCCCTGAACAAAAAATATTGGTATCATCCGCAAAAATCACAAATTTTAAGAGGTCAGTCACCCTACATATGTCATTTATGTACATAATAAATAATTTTGGTCCCAATATTGACCCCTGTGGTACTCCACAGGTGATACCCAAGCACTCCGATCTGTACTCACCCATTTGCACAAATTGTAGTCTGTTACTTATGTAACTTTTCATCCAATCTAATGCAACTCCTCTGATACCATACTTTTCCAGTTTATTGATTAACAAACGATGATCGATTGTATCGAAAGCTTTTTTTAAATCAATAAATACTCCCACTGCATATTGTTTGTTATCTATAGCACTGGTAATGTCTTCAATTAACTCCATTAGTGCCATTGATGTAGATCTGTTTGTCCTAAATCCATACTGACTATCAACCAATAATTCATGCTTCTCAATAAAATTATCCAATCTAATTACATACAATTTTTCTAATATTTTAGAGAACTGCGAGAGTAAAGACAATGGCCTATAATTCGTGAATTGATTTCTCTCTCCAGATTTATATAGTGGAATGATTTTTGCAATTTTCATTTTGCTTGGGAATACACCTGTATTGAAAGACAAATTATAAATATGAGTTAACGGTTTAACGATTGCACCAATGACATCCTTAATTAAGACCATATCAATATCATTCACGTCTGTTGACTTTTTATTCTTACAATTATTAACAATTTCAATAATCTCAATTTCCTCAGCTGGTTTCAAAAACATAGAGTTGGGGTTACTATATAAATAATCAACTGCCTTCACCTCACTTTCAATCTGTGGATTTTTAATAACATCAGCCAGCTTTGCTCCCACACTTACAAAGAAATTGTTAAACCCATTGACCACTTCTTCCATGTTGCTTAAAGTCCTCTCATTTTCTATATAATGCTGAGGGTATTTTTTATTCATTGGTCCATTCCTTATAATATTATTTAGCACTTTCCATATACCCTTGATATCATTTTTATTATCATTTAATAT